CTTCAAATCCTAGCGCAAAATGTGTGCAGAAAAGCTTGACTTAAAGCTCATTACAACTAAGACGTTAATTTCATAATAAATAAATAAATAATAAAATGCATATATATGCACATACTATCTTTTTTCTCGTAGTTCAGTACAGTACAATACAGCTCAGTCCAGTATAAAAATAAATAATAATAGTTAAAAAAAGAAATAATTAGTTTATACTTTATCAATATGAAAGTAAGAATGAAGGCAAAAGATATATATATGCCGAAGATAAATGCCATGTGAATAGTGAGAGGTTAATGATAGTCATGTCTACACGCAAGGTTATATTGTCACAGATTATATGAAATCGTCATTAAAAATAGAGCGATATTATCGTCTATAAAGCAATATATAATATAAGCTAACTGGATGCACTCTCGTTTTGGCCGCTTTGACAAATGAACCATCTGGAGAGACACACATGTCGACCAACCCATCATTCTCATCCCGTAAGAACTCACGAAAGTGTCTCCTATTCCTCAGCATATGCGAATTGTGCGAGCGCACATCGGAAGAGACATATAAAATGTTCATTGTTAGACGAATAAAGAAGAAATGGAGACTTTTCCAAAATTTTCTTATGCCTAATAGTGAAGTCGTTTGGAGAATAGCTCTCATAGTTCGACCTACAATGAAAATTTGATTGGTCATTCTATCAATGTAAGCATAAATATGCAACTAAAATCATCATTACCGTTACAATCGGCAAATTAATAAGCGCTTTTTCTTATATTTCTATCAATAAATTTTAGATAATATAATATATAATATAAAATGTGTTTATATATATATACTTTTTTAAATAACATTCATTTATATATACACATTTTTTATGTGTCAAATAAATTATCTTCAAATATGATGAAACTTTCATCATATTTGAAGATAATTTATTTGACACATAAAAAATGTGTATATATAAATGAATGTTATTTAAAAAAGTAGGTACTTTAAAAAATATATTGAATAATAATATATAATGTGAAAATTCTTAAATCCAACAAGTGTCTTCTTAAAATGATGAAAGCATATTTTAATTCAATTTTTGATACAATTTATAATAAAGAAATTATTAATTAATTATTAATTAATAATTTTATACTATTTTTTAAAATTAAAAATTAAAATTTACATATGTTAATTTACATTTATAATAATTTATAAGATGCAATTATTTAATGTTTAATGAATAATTTGATTTTGTATTGATTTTATATTGATTTTATATTGATGATAATAAACATAAGAATAGTTATTTAACTGTATAATTGTGATAAAAAATTAAATACAATGATATAATATAATCAAATACGATTATATAAGTTGTGATAAAAGTATTTCAAAAGTATTTTTTTATCTGAAAAAAGCGTAGATGTTATTTCATGTAGAATATGCATTGAATCATGATGTAATGTTGCATATTTATAGCATACAACGAATTTTGGTTTTGACAGTAGCGGAAATCGAATAGTTGGGCATATTGTCGCAACATATATGTATATAGTTAAAAATAAACAACAAATCATTCGTAAAAAAAATTGCGCAATTTGTCTACGACTTCAATTTTGAAAATCTATTTAAAAAAAAAATGATTTAGAATATCAAATCATCACACACGTTTATGCTTATTCTATATATGCAATTATGATTCTCTCAAATATTTGAGTGTTGCTACATTTTCGCGCGTTCTTCCTCGATCATTTTGAGGTTGAAATGACAAAAATAAAGAAAAAATAAAAAAAAATCATGTCGGCGGATTCTTTATTCGCGTAAATCAAGAAGAAGGAGGTTTTAAACAGTATAATTATTACGCGCTATATATACATGATTTAATATCCGACTCAATGGCGACGCGATAGGCAGCAAGTAAGCCGCACGCAAAAAACTTAAGTTTTTAATTAAAATTCTCTTTAAACGATTCCGTAACAAAGTACTTCCGTGCGCTTTATAAAAACGAACTGATTAAGACAGAAATCGATACAATCTAAAATTGAGCACTGAATCTAAACAAAAAGAAAAAAAAAGGCAACAAGTAAACACTCAAAAATTGCGAACATGAAGAAACGAAACGATGAGAAACCGGCGTGATAAAAGTGAATGCAAAAAGGCGCGAAATGAAAATTTTCAACTAACCACGTGCTCCTAGTGTTCGTCATGCCCGATGAGGATGAGCCTCGGGACGTACGCAGAAGCCGGAAAACCTCTCTCGACACTCTGCTGAGAAAGGACCCGAAGGAGCGATAACGCGCACCACCTCCGCGGACGGGAGTCGGCCACTGACTGAACGTGACTCCGATTCTCTCTGGAACCGGGAGGAGGCTGCGTCGACCGGTCATGGACCACGGGCCTGCGGCCTTCCGACACTGAAGTCGGTGCCGCAAATTTCGCTCCTGCCCCCATATTCCACCGCGCTTACCGGCTTCATCTCGTGAAATTTTCAACTGATAAACTTGCGCAACATGTTAAAATTCAAAATAAATTTTAAATTAATTTTAATTATGTAATAGTTACGTTTAGCAAGTGCCTTCATTATTGGATTAAACAACAGAATTTTTAATATTTACGATCACATATAATTATTAGTTTTTATGTTTAAAAATGACATGATAATATATGTTTTCGTTATAACAAAAAAAAAAGAACTTGTATAAACACGATATAAATATGTACCTTTTATATAAATAATTATATTAAAAAATATAAATTATAAATTATATAAAAAATAAAAGTCTAAGTAAACTATGAAATAGCAAAGTTACATTGTAAATTGATAAAAAAGGAAAACGAAGATTACTATTTTTTTTAATATGTAAGATTTATATAAGATTTAATCCAAGGAAATAATTCGTTCCACTCGAATGTGCACGAGCATCATTTCTAGGATATAAGAATAAAAGCAAACAAACAACGTACAGTAAAACATATCTAATTGAGACAAGACTCGCAAAGTGCAGAGGAAGCGTCGATAATTAAACTGTTCAACATCGAGTAGCATTCCGACATATAATCGTGTGTATTAATTTCACATCTATAGTATTAAATCAATTATAAACGAATGTTTATTTTTTCTTTTACAAAAAACATAGATAAACAAGAATACCAATCAATTCCTGTTGAACTAAATTTAATTAAAATATCGATTGTCTGCTTTTTTTATTTTTTGTAATGTTGACTATGTAATATCAACAAAAAATAAAATAAAATACACGAAGAACATTTTAGGTGAAAATCCCCCGTTATATATATTGCATGTATCACTTGAATGAATTTTACTTATATTTAGCATTGTTTAAATTTTCTTATAAAATACGTAAAATGTTTTTCACGAATCATTTTATATATACAGTAATAATAAATAGAATTTATTTAATTTTATAACATCTAATTTATGATAAATCTAATTTACGATTTAATTTGTGATAATTTATGATAAATAGAGTTATTGAGAGAAGGATTCGAGAAATTTGGCATGCTACCAGTTTAAGTAGCCCAAGGCCGAGGGGAAAGATCGCGGTCTCGCGGCTTCTGGAAATCCATTCATCCGTTCATTCACTCACTCCGCGGACATCTTAATGAAAAGTGAATTGGCGAGGGCGGTCGGCAAGCGATTTACGAGCGATCGGCTGATGCGTAACGCGTGGAAACAGCAAATGAATAATGTAAAACCCTCACAATGCTTATTTAATAGAAGCGAGAGCTGCTTATTTAATAAAAGCAAGATAATATGATATGTTACGACAAAACCATAAATATTACATGCATGAAAAAGGAAACATAATTTTGCCTAAACATTAACAAATATTTGATGTAAATTATTAGCATATTCAAACAATGATAGAAATCTCGGAAATGCATGGAAAAAAAATGAAAATAAAGTTTCATTTATATCTATTTTTAAATCAGCAAAAATTTGATGTAATGTAAAAAGATGATTTAATGGTTAATTGAAAATTTTCCGTTTTGCATTCACTTTTATCACGCCGGTTTCTCAATTTTTAATTATTTTCTAAAAAAAGACACCGAGATTTTGACAGAGGGGGAAAGAAACTTTTCGTTGATTGATGAAATCTTGAACTTTTATACGACATAATTATTGCGTAACGAATCATTCGACTAATGCCGTACGAAACTGAGTCTTTTATTCTTTTCGCCACGTAGTTCTGTCTAATTATCACCAAAGAAGTTAAACTGCATTTTCAAGAAAGGATGGTATTACCGGAGTTTGGATGATTTCAAGACGGGAGAAGTGGAACTTTTAATAATAAGATCCAGTAGACGTAAACTCTCCGGTACTTCGTACTAAATCGTTTTAATAATTGCGAGAGTACCTATCCAAGAAAGTAAGGTAATTCTCCATCTTGAATGAAAAGATTTTGACTTGCACACTATTCCACGAAGTGCATCTTTTCATATCAAAGCGATATTTTTGTTATAATATTGACGTAATTAAACGACGCATGAAATTTCTATTAATTATGTATTTTTACCAAGCACATGTCAGTTTTTTATTACTATTAAACGAAAACCATTTTCGAGTAAGAAAAAAATAGAGATCCAGTTAAAAATAAAAAATAATTTTAAAATATCCAACATTTTAAAAATTTAAGAAAGCTACATTTAAATTATGAATGTATTAAAGCATGTATTAAATGTATTAAAAATCATGTATATAATATTAATAATTACAATATATAATATCATGATGTTTCATATCGTTTCAATTAACGTTTTACCTACTCAAAAATTACTTTTTTCCGCCATTATATCGATTATATAATTTTCTTAACAAACGTTTTTGTTATCATTATATTAAAATTAAAATTAAAAAATTGTATTGCTTTTATTTCATAAAAGATTTTACTTACAATTTAATAAACAATAAAAAGGAAGATTGATAATCTAATCAAGAGTTAATTTAATAAAGGAATTAATTTAATAAAAACAAAACATATTTATTATTAATGTACCTTGACAGTCGATGGTACATGATGAACAATATGGCTCTCCCGTCCTGCAGAAATCCAGGATGCAGAGAGAAGTCGTTTTATTCCTAACACAACGCCGGTTCTTTCTGTTTATCGAGGCTGTAGGGCCTAAAGGCTGTACGACACGGAAGCCGAATCTTCACGAAAGGACGCGCGCGTACAACTCACGGGAGAAAACTGACCGAAAGAAGCGCGGAACCCGGAGAGAGAACCGACCCCCGATATGAGTTGCTTTCAGTGAGAAAAAGAGGGGCCAAATGGCATGGGGGAAAGAGAGAGAAAGAGAGAAAGAAAATGTGAGGAAGGGAGGATGAAGAGGGGAAGGGAGGAGGGATGAGTAGGGCTGGGAGAGATGGGGTGGTCGACTGGCAAGAGAATGAGATAGCTGAAGAGAGGAGGAATAGTAGGGATTTCTTACTCATTCATACTCCAACGCCCCCGCGAATTACGGGCACCATCTCCCCTCGTTCTCTCGTCCACATTCGAAATGCGTCCAATGCCGCCCGATTAACGAATTTATCATTCACTGCTCTTCTTCAACCACATTGTTCCGATAAGGCAATGAGAAGAACACAATTCTTTGGGAAGAATCCCGAAGAGATTTTATTTTATTTGCACAAAATTCTTGAATTTCTCTTAATATATTATAATTATTTACTGATTAGAAACTTTTTTTTTCTTATCAGAATTATTAAATGTGTTTGTGAATTTAAATAGATGTGAAATAGATTCATCCACAATAGAAATATCAATGCTTTAATCATTTTTAACAGATTATAAGCAAATAAAATTTTGAAAAATTAATTAATAAAATTCAATATTTAAATTAAATTAAAATTAATTAATAAATTATGCAAAATATAATTATTTCAAGCAACACTAATTTAATTAGTGAAAAATTTGTTTAATTAAGATAATTTCAATTTGAAATATAAAATCATTTCCATAAAATAATTTCGGCATAGTGAAAAATTTAACTACGCCGCAAAAAGTGAATACATATGTTATATTTGCCTAATTAATATATTCACTTTAAAAGGCGCTTTAAGAGACGACTCTGGTGACATAAGTTGGAAAATTAAATTTTCCTCGACGAGGAAAATACTGCGTTCCTCGTCTATCGAACGTCTATTACGCTATTCGGTGCGCGCGAGCGAGATATTCGAACTCGTTTATCATCGTTATCGGTCGAGAATCGCATCTGCGATAGACGGTCATACATTAACGGCCTTTTGTTAATTAACGCATCTGGCCGTCGCGCGAACAATGCGCGTCAAACGGCAACGGCTATTGAATTTCGGCAAATCGGATAATCTGCATCCTGCGTTCCGAATCCGCGTCCGTCCGTCCGAAACATGCCAACCCGGCGGATAATCATGCGTTCGCGTTTTATTAATCAACATACCATTTTGTTAATTACACGGGAGTATTATGCGGCGGCGAAGTATCGGGAGAAATGCCGAGTGACGCAGCTGGCTCGCTTGAAAAGCCCGTGTTTGGACGCCAACGCCAGCGGCGTGGTGTGTGGCATCCAACACCACCTGTTATAACTCCTGAAATTACGAAATCCCTGTACTGTTTGTAATCCGGTCTGTTTGAAACTTGCCACGTGCTTAACCTTACGTATATAGCCATAATTTCACCTTGTTAACGATGCAGCGACGAATTGTAATTAAAGTTCCGCGTGATTGCGATTCTACATTCGATATAGGGTTGGTAGGAAGTTTCATGCATGAGAGAAATGTGATTTATAAATCCGAAATGTTACACAGAATTGGGCGCTATTAAAATGCAAATTTAATGTAGAATCTTGCACTGAAAAAATTGTATTCTCAACTTAAAAATATGCCACTTATCTTTAGTATATATTTAGTATATATTCTATTCTATTTTATTCTATATATTCTATTCTATTCTATTCTATTCTATTCTATTCTATTCTAATTCTATATTTAGTATATATTCTAAAGATAAGTGGCATATTCTTAAGTTGAGAATACAATTTTTTCAGTATGAAATTTTAAGGAGAAGTAAGAATATGTGTCCTTGTACTACACTGATTTTTGTTTCTTTTCTTAAAGACATCTGTAGAATTTTACCACAATAACGATTCTTATATTTATAGTCAATCCGCTTATATACTTGACTGCGTCGACGAATATCGGCAGGCCGACATTATAGAGAAGTGATTTGCATAATGGTCTATGCTGGTCACGCAAGCGTAATACAATACAGAGTTGCACAATAAAATTGCAAGTTATTAAGAGCTGCAAAAAGATCAGGGCTTCCTTGAAACAGCATTTTTTTCTCGTAAGATCTTGAAACGTCTTACCAAGTACAAATATTACAGCGCATATGGATGTCAGTTATATACACACGTAGATCAAAGAACATTTCTAAAAACCATTATCTCATAAAACTATTTTAAGATAATTACATTTATCCACAGAATTATTAAACTAATATTTTGTACAAAACGTATTTAACGTTAAAATTATAGATCAATAAAGTTTTAAATATAACTTTTTATATGCGGAGAAAAATAATTTAATAAAGTATAATATATGTTTTCTCTCTTTTTCTATTTAATAATTATTTAAACGAATTTATAAGTAGATATAAGAAAAAAATATCATTTCACTACCATTTCTGTCTAGGTTATTTTTAACGACACAAACTTTCAAAAGCTTTTGATCATAACACCTCGACATTTATTACTGCGGTAGTTTTTGAAGGCAGAACATGTGTTCTACACTATAGAAGAAGGTGGGCGTCAAAGGAAACAGCCAGTGACCTCGAGAAGCGCCCATCATATTTAGGACACCCGATAGACGATAACTATGCTCCAGGATGCAAGTTGATAGGAACCATGCATGTACATACAAATCATCTCTATTAAATCATATTATTCATTCATGTTTTCCTTTCGGTTCATTGATATTATTTAATGAGAATGGATATTATTATATCATATATAATCATATAATCAGTATAGCGATAAAAAATATAAATAAAATATGAGTAGATAATATCAAATGTTAAACAAATATTTAAAGCATTATATCATGCATTATTATTAATATGTATATAATTTAATGATTTAATATGCATTTATACTTAGCTTGATAAAAGCAACTTTGTTTCAAATTAAAAATATTGAATTGTTTCCAATAATTTTATATGCTATATTTTATATATGTGCACTCGGAAATGGGTTCTCGTTCGATAGAAATGCGTGGGAGACATTTATCTCAGCTATCATTCTAACTACTTTCAACAAAGTTGATTAAAAACAGTTTTAGTATGATGTGTTGAAATAATTAGGTCACTCCAGATAAGATTTTATATTTCTGTAACACAGCAATCGCGACGATTTCGCGACACAGGATGATGCTGAATGGGAAGAAACGGATGAACAGCGCCGATTAAAAAAAATCAGTCTGATATAACTTACCAAACGATGACAGCTTGCATAGGCGGTTACGTTACTGCGATAATATTATATTGAGTATCCGGCGAGATGTGACGTCGCATCCAATTTTGCGAGCTGGTTGCATGCAGTGAGACGTGGAAAATAATATAATAAGAATGGAGTATTCTTATACCGTAGAAGAGGCACCTCCCGACGATGTTCCCAGCGTGAAGCACGACATTCGACGCGCAAAGAAATTTCTGCAGAAACACAGCACAGAATCGGGTGACAGCTTGTAAGCGCGCCACTGAATTTCCTACGATAAGAATTATGCAATTGTACTCTCTCCTTGTAATGTATTTTTTTTCATTTCCAATATACGCACAATATTTCACATTATATTTACCGTAATAACTGTGTTTCGCAAGAGAGATCCGATGATGCAAGCATGGTAAAAGCAATTGTTCCATATTAGTCCTGAAATAAAATTTTTTTATTATGAAACCTTGAAACAATAATGAAGAAAAAGAGGATAATAATTGAAATGCCGAGCAAAATTATTAATTTATTCTCGACGATCCTTTCTAGGTACGACCATCTAACTGAACTTTTAGCAAAATTACTTGCTGAACAGCCGCGAAACGCAGTCGATATTTTTGAGGAATACAGCAGAAAATTGAAGGAGGAGAGATTTAAAACTAAGACGGATCATCTTCGGGATCTGTACGTACCACCGGCGCAGTACGACGATGCCAAGAAGCTCATCAAGCTCTTCCAGGTGCGGTTGACAAGTAACAGATAATGAAACCGCGATACACGCCAAGTTTCTCTCGGATAAATAACATGCAAATGACGCAAACGAGGCAAACTATAATCTTCGTTTTATTGTGCCTTTCAATCTTCCTGCAATCACGACAGAGTGTAAGACAGATTGACGAGGACGATCAGGAGAGAATGGAGGACGAGGAGGAGGACGATAAGAAAAAGAAGTATCCCGACATGTTGGATCTTTTGTTCTATTTCGAGCAGACGGGTGTAGGATTGCCGCGACATGAAATGGTGTTGCTTAATTTATCGATTCGGAAGCTTGCCTCCACAATGCCGCTTGAAAATATTAGGTATTCGATTTGAATAGCTCACGTTATATACAATATATCGAACTCGCACATCACATTATTTTCTTTACTTAATATATATATTTTTTAAATATTAATTCCTATCTCAGATTTTGGGGTAAAATACTTGGAAAACCCAAAAATTATTACGTAGTGGAGGCTGAATTTCAAGCGGATGAACTTGCTCGAAGATTAGAGGTGAAATACTGAAATACACAATTAATTTATGACATATTTCTCTTTTTTTGCCTCTTTGATTTTTTTCTTCCAAGATAATTTACGTGTCATAAAAAATGCATAACATTTTAATCCACTAAATATGCACGTTATCTGAAATTTCATTTAATACAGTTTGCAATGCTAACACAATTAATTATGCTAATATTTGTGTTTAATATTTGTGTTTATCATGTTTATCATATATCTAGTTTAAAAACAAAGATAAACTAAAAGAGATACTTATCGCGGTATTAAAGCAGCTTTATTCGAATTTCCTTCGAATAAATAATACAGTTATGTATATTGTTTCCTGCTGTAAACTCTTAAGATCCTCTCTTAAGAATACAATAATATTTTCTTTAAAAATAACAAAAGAAAGCTGAGGTACAAACTCAAAGAGAGAAAGAGGAACCCGAATCCGAAGCGGCAGCAAAATTCGCAGAGGAAGAAGCCGCGGTAAAAACCGAGACGGAAGCCATGGATGAAATCGTCGGAGCAACGGAAATCCCACACGAGGGTACGGGTGTAGGAAAACCCTTGGAGCTTGTCTTTCCTCCTCTGCCTGTTAATCTGTGGAGACCGCTGCCGGAAGTACCGACTGAAAAAATCGGGAGCGGTCTGAATAAAAAAGTACGCGCGTTTACGAGCTCTCAATTATCATAATATCAAAGGAATGCGTCCCAATAGTCATAAGGAATTAATATTCAATCCGCATCACGTCACCTATTTTTTTCTATTTTTTTTAATAATCTCCACCTCTCACGCTCTAATAGTATTTAGGTGTATTTTGTATGCAACGCGCCTGGGTTGGACGAGTGGATCGAACTTCCGACGGTTACGCCGCAGCAGATAGTAATTGCACGACAGATTGTCCGATACTGTACGGGAAACTTGGAGACACCGGTACGTGATGCCTTTTAATGAAGGAACCCCAGGTTAGAGCGATGTTATTTGCGAACACGTCTGTAACGCATCTATAACGTTAACCCACATATTGTCTTATTATCCGCGATATCTGGTTGCGTGCCTTACGATGTTAGAATTACACGAGACAATCTACGGTAATGATAGACGAATAGAACGTGGAGAAAAGAATGATGAATCGCGGTAAAGTTAAGAGTTTTTGGTAAATACACAGCAATTAGTAAAAACTGTAAAAATAATGCTCCTCGGTGCAATTAACAAAATAAATCAAAGTTAGTGGAAGTCGAGCAAGGTGCGAATACAAATTGATGAAATTAATTTTAGATTTCATACACTTCAAGTCAACTTAATCAGTCTCTATTATCTTGGTTGTTTTTCTTTTTTAATGTTATTTTTCTTTTTACGGAACAGATCCACAGTTTCCCGCCGTTTCCCGGTGTCGAGAAAAATTATCTTCGCGCACAAATTGCAAGGATTAGCGCGACCACTCACGTTTCGCCGATCGGCTTTTTCACATTCGGCGAAGAAGACGAGGATGAAGAGATCGAGGAAGAAAGAGACGAAAGTAATATAATATAATAATTTTGATAGATTATCTTTTTCTAACAGAAAGAATAATGGAGAGATATCGAAAATCTTCGAATTATTCTTAGTTGCATTAATCCTGTACATTTATGCAAATTTCATCATTTTATATAGCAATCTATGCAGAAAGGGAATTATCAGAAAACGTGCATTATAAACCGCTGCCGATCAAAGATCTCATAGATTCCACTATGTTAAATTGGTGCCATCATAGCCCGTATATTCTCAAACAAGGACGAACTATCTGGTGGAACCCCGAGAAAGAGGAGGATATTGTGGACGTTAGCTAAATAATTATTTTATAATCACAATTTAAAATAACTCATGAAAATATGTCTTCAACTTACCTGACAGGAAGTTTTAATTATTCGTAGGAAGAAATCGTGGAGGAAGACGAAGCGGACAGAGACGAAGTCAAGACGATCGAGAAAGAAATCGGGCCACCTCTCTTAACTCCTTTGTCCGAAGATGCCACTGTTGATTCCGTGATACCATGGACTGCTAGACAGTCGTCATATCTGCAACCAGATATTGCAGTAGCTTTAGTCAGATCGAATGTATGGCCCGGAGCTTTTGCGTTCGTTGTCGGAAAGTATGTATTTACAACAAAATTTTAATTTAAATAATTAAAAATCAGAAAAGAAAGAGCTGAAGCTTTATTATTAATAAATATATTAATATATATTTAATATTGTACAACAAAATAGAATTTAATATTAATATTTTTGTTAATGATAGAACGTTCTCTCTTTTTCTCTCTCTTGGTTTTTAATAATCTAAAATATCTTAAAATTTTATTATAAATTTATTATATATATATATATATATATATATATATATATAATAAGAAATATATACATATATATAAAATAAATTTATAATAAAATTTTAATTTATATAATTAATTTATATCATTCACAAAAAGGGAGAGAGAAAGAAAATGTTATTATTAACAAAATATTAATATTAAATTATATTTATATAATTAATATTATTATTATTATTAACTCTCTTTCTGTTTAACAAGAAAGTTCAAAGCAAAAGAAGAAAGCAAAAAAGTGATACAATTTATTGCGATAACGTAGATAACGTAGATAACGCCAAATTGAGCAGTTAAAAATATATCTATTCCATGCTTAATTCACCGTGCGTTCAATAACCTCATCCTGCTGCGAACATTTGTGGTCCACGCTAAAATTATGTTGATCCATAGTCAGGTTACAAGGGAATTGATGCACGCGGGATTGCGTTAATATAATTTTAATGATGTCATTTCGCAGACGCTTCGCGAACGTGTACATCGGCTGGGGCCACAAATACAACGCGTATAATTATAGCCCTCCCGATATGCCGTCCGTCCAAGATCAGTACAAAATCGGACCGGAAATCATGGAAATTCGTGATCCTACCGTCGACGAAGAAGGGCTATATCGAGTAGCGCGTTTATCGCCAACAGGTGATTGCTGTAAAAGAATAATATAATTCTATAATACGTATGTCCAAAAAACGTTTGAAGTACATCCCGAATCCTATCGTTCCACAAAGATGTCTTCGAAATATTTGCTGGAGAAATAAATCTTTTGAATATGCGTGTTATCTGAGAGAATATAGGTTTGTTTTTCGCATTACCTGAAATAATGTTCTACTCCAGAACCAGAGGAAGAGGTATTAGACGAAGAGGAGGAGGACGACGACGAAGAAGAGGACGAGGAAGAAGAAGCCGAGGAAGACGATGTGTAACTTGTACTGTACGAAATACTTTCCCGCTTTCAAATGTTAAGTCAAATAGTCCTCGTATAGAGGGCACTACAAGTTGAAACTTGGCATATCGGCAATGTAGGTTTCCGTCCAAGGCACTGCAAATAATATTAAAAGAATCATGAAAAATGTATAATATTATTATACAGTAAAGTTGTTTGAAAAGAGAAATACAGTCGTTTATTCTATGGTATATTTGACAAGTTATTTCTTAATAGAATATTTGTTTATTTTACGAAATTACCTAGTGTCGTGCTATTACCAAGTGAGCTATTTTCTTTATCGATAGTTCACAATTCATGCGATTGATCACGTGATTGTGTCCAGTTTCTCTCTAACCTCGTGCATGTTGTTGTCCCGCCAATTTTGTTGCTAAGAAAATCTGTATAATTTGGATAAAATGGTTGAAGAAGATACTGAAATTGATTGTGTATTGAGGCCGATGAATTGCGAGATTAATTTGCTGTCGAGGTCTGATGGTTCGACAATGTTTATGCAAGGTATGTAATAAACCGCAATCATTGCTATGGCAACAATCTTGTTAGTAAAATATTCTAATTATTATTCTCCCGCGCACAGGCGATACCACTATTGTCGCAGGTATAAATGGCCCCATGGAAGTAAAGAGCCAAAAAATGGCATATGACAAACTTTCCATAGAAGTTACGTATACACCTCTCACAGGCCCAGCCAGTAAGTTGATATGGTAATTGAACTCTCTATGAATTACTGTTTCAGTATTGTTTATCACTTATTTCAGAGGTAGATGACAGATTAATTGAAACATATATAAGAGAGAGTTGTGAATCTGCAATACTGGTTTCGTTGCATCCTAATACCATGATATGCATTAATTTGCAAGAGGTGCAAGATTCTGGTGGGGTAAGATCTTGTTTTATGTCATTATATTAATGACAAATCTTTCTAGTCAAAGTAATGTGTAAATAAAAAGAAAAATTTAATTTTAGTTATTGGCTTGTGCTATTAATGCATCATGTCTGGCATTAATTAATTCAGGACTATCTATGAAATTCACCATTGCAGCTGTAAGTTGCATGATAGAAAAAGAAACAGGAAAAATAATTATGGATCCTGATAATACACAATTAAAGGTATCTATAATAATGATAATTAGAGTAATGAGCTATCTTTTCAATAATAATCATTTTTCATAAGAGTTATTTGTTTACAGAATGCAAAGGCAGAATTTACATATGCATTTGACAGTATCAACAAAGACATCGTATGCTGCCATAGTGTCGGTCGATTCTCTCAAAGCGAGTTCTTAGCTTCTGTGGATAAATGTAAACAAGTTAGTCAATTTATATTCGATTTTTATAGGGAAATTACAAAAAAATATGCAAATACAGTATAATACCATCTTATTCCCATCATAAACATCCTTTTTTTTATTTTTTCCTTTTCTTTACCTTTACCTTTTATATTTTTAAAAAAAGATAATATTAATATGGAAATGATTATGTTCTACTCAGTATTATTCATTAATATTGCGATAGAGTATGAGTTGCAGAATGGCATCTGCAAAATCAATATATGATTGGAAAGTTGAAGAAATGTATTTTTTTACCAACGATAAATAAGATGATATTATACATCTTTTATTTAAATTTTCTTTCTCCTGATATATTTTTTTATGTTATATTTAATTATAAAGTTTTTTAATGTTTTTTATCATACTTATATTATTATTTATTATTGGAGAAGAAAGTACACATTTGCACTTTAGTCTCTGCTTGTTGCCAACAGAGGATGCAGCACACCTCTTGATTTCTGCTGCCCTCTCAGCAGTTTTTCTTTATATCTTTTAAATTAAAATCCCAAAAATTAATAAATATGTTTCATCAAGATAATAAGTAATTTATGCAAAGCATTTTAGATACTCCGACATTTTATTAAAAAATATATTCATGAAATAAATTTTTTGGACTAATAATATGCTTATAAAATAGATTTTTGTATTAAAGTTAATGCAGAACTGTAGTTTTGTTAGCAAAATCGTAGTTTCTAAAATAAATTTATATAATTAATTGTATTAGAGAGAGAGAGTTATACACAATATATATATGTATATAAAACAAACATTTTAAACAAGAAATATTTTAGAATAAAATATATTTTCTTATCATGTATATATTAATACAATTAACTATAACATAATTAAATTTACCATATAAATTATTGTTGAATTATATTAACATCAGATAAAAATTTAAGTAAGATAAGAAACATTAAATATATGTACACAAAAAATATTATATATCTATATATACATAAAGTAAAAGTAAATAGTATTTAATTGATATAGATTTCAAATTTGATTAATAGGCTGTAGTAAATTAATTATTTTTCCTTTCGATTTTAGTTTAATTATTTTTGTTTCTTTAAGAGAAATCATATTATTATATCATTATGTTTCAACAATCTTTTTTCAACAGCCTTTTTCTTATAATCATATATATATATATATATATATATATATATATATATATGTATATATAGATATATAGATATATCATTAATATAATATTTAACTACAAAAAAAATAAAGGAGCAATGAATTTGATGTAGTTACTATATATATATAGGGTGATATATAAAAATAGTCAAAAAAATCTGTTTCGTTTTGCGTAATATAAGCTGAAAAATATTCATTTATGCAAATGGTCTTATGTTCCGACATTCCATTTTGCCCGCTTATTATTTGTACTTTACTATTAAAACGCTAACAATCTTGGAAGTGAATGTATTAAAAATGCAACTTGCATTCAAATGCATTCGGCTTTGGCGCATTTAAAAAGGAGCGGATATCTGTCGGTAGAGCCACGCCCGGTCGCCAATCACAGGTAGTACCTACCATCGACGTGTATCCTTTGTGTCCTCTGGATCCTTTTAGTACCTTCTTTCTGGCTCTCGGGAGCTCAGAGATTTAGTGGGATGGGGGAAGGGGGTAGGGAGCATCTCGGGACGTCCATTAAATACAGAAATGAGCCTTCCAAGAGCACCTCGAACGGGTCGGACCAGATCCTCTCTCTGGCCGGGCCCAAGAACTAAAAGAGAGACGAAGAGACTAAGAAAGGCCGCGTTGAGAGAGAAAGAGAGAGTCCAAGCCGGGTCAGACCGGGCCACGTTTAGCTGAGGTCGCCCCGGGCCTCCAGACCATTAACAAGGAGCGGAGCAATTTATGGACCGGCTCGCTCATTTCCACTTTATTATTATTTTCTCATCTCATAGATGGTCTTCCACGTCGTTTTGTTCTGCCGCGCCTGCCCCCTTTCCCTTCCATCTCTCTCATCCCTCGCGTCCAGCAGCTTCATCCTCCTCCACCCCATATCTCTCCCTTCGTTTCTCTCTTTCCCTCGTGAAATTAATACCCACGGCTGAGCCGGGAGAGCCACCGGCGAACCGCGGCGACTCGGCGATGAACTCGGAGAAAGGGTACCTCCTCGGACGAGCAAAAAATTGCGGAACGCGAAATATTATTGTGCCTCATCGCCTCCTCCTGTCCTCTCACGGGACCTTACATCGGTAATAATTTTGACCCGCGCTCACCGGCCTCGACATATATATATATATATATATATATATATATATATATATATATATATATATATGCGGAAGCTGGCTGTATTTATGTGCACGTTGTACTAATTATACATTATATGACGTCGTCCTGAAGCTACTTGTCAATAGATTATATAGATAGCTCATCGAATGAAAATGACAAAACGCGATGTCACTTATTAATAGTTGTACATAACTTGTTACAAAATTAAACAAGAAATTTCATAGATTTCAGCAGATTTAGTCAGTAAATAAAACATGAAAGATAAAATTGCATAATAAATAAAAGTCTATCTAATCACGACTAGAGATTGCAAATAAAAAAAAATAATACAATAGTGAGAATTTAAAATTAATTGTACGATACAAATACTATGAGCAAATACGATGAATATCGTAATGAAAATTATTTATCATCATACCAACTATTTATTATTTATCATATCAACTATTTATTAATACTCTATATTTTATCTATCTCTAAAGCTAGCAATATATTGCCTTACACTATTTTCATTAAATTTGTAAAAGATTTTCTAGTCACGAGAAAAAGCAAAATCATCAATATTATATTGATTTTTTTATATTGATTTAATTATTATATTGATTTTAATATTTTTCTTTGTTAGATAAACAGATTTTAATGAAGAGGAGATATTCTTATATATAAAATCGTTCAAATCGAATTTTCGGAAGAATTTTTTTTATCTGACACTATCAACTTTCTGAAATAAATTTGCTGTCGAGATTTATTTTTATTTTCAATATCAGTATCTTCTCTTCACATGTTGTATTTCGCCTGATTTAAGTTCGCGTGACGCCATACGCTGGCCGATAAATCCCCGGTACGCGAATTAATTTTAAGCGATCACGACTTCCAACCGCGATGACATGGCGACGATCTGGCGGCTCCCGCTCTTCCTTTATATAAATCCTTTATATAAAAGATTTTCGACAATCCTCCCCGCGCTTAACTCTCATATTCCTGAGTTAAGAACGTTCGGATAAAGCTCTCCATTTTACAATTCGAACCTATAAGATCCGAATACGCGTTTCGGAGCGAAACAGGCGCCTTTCGCTGCCTTCGCTCGGAGAGGTGGACCTGTCCGGGCCCTTTTGGTCTCTCTCTTTCCATCTATGGGTCCGCTCATCGCCTTGACTCGTCTCTTGAGCCGATGCTCGCCCATTGGTGCGAGGGTAGTTGTTATGAAATTAGCATGAGCGATCGAGTTAAGGCCGCGAAGATAATCGCTTCGAGGGTATAACGCGAGGGATTGGATGTGCCGGTGCAGACCGGACGCTTTGCCCAATGCCGCCGATCGTAAGGCCCCGGATGCTACCTTCACCACATCCCATTGGCCCGGGACGATTTACGATCGTCTTGCCCCGAACGTCTCCGGTCGTCCGCGCGCGATGAAGGAGATCGCGGTTCATGGCTCGCAATTAAGAACAGCGATGTCTCAATGGATGCCAAAGTGCTGGTCAGCTCGTGTCAATACCTTGATTCTGATTCCTATCTCTTCTTAATTTTCAACCGCGACCGTGAAATATTCATAATAAAACTAAAGAAAAATACCGTGTCGAATTTTTAATGAATTAATTAATCCAAAGCAACGTGTAATTATTTCCTATATTTTTCTACTTTCGGATAATTTATTGTAAAGAAGGGGGAATAATTTTATTTTAAATATTTTTATCAGTTTAATATGATAATTTCATATAAAAGTCGTATAAAACCGGGAATTTATTCATGAATATACGAGATTTAATAAAGATACCAAAGAACCCGCGTAGTGTCAAAGCTAAAATATCATATAGGTATGGCCGGCAATGCTAAAAAGCAATGAGAAAGCAGAGGAGTGCGGCGCCAAGTCGAAGGCGAAAGTCGCTTGACGCGTGACATGACTGAAAGTGACAGCCGCTGTGTGTAGGACAGGATTTGTACGTCGAGGAACTGACACCGGAGGGATCGGGGACCTCATCTCTCTGCCGGTCAGGGGCCCAGGTGCAGGCTCCTCGTCGAGAATGACGAATTCTCATCACTCGTCTCGTTCGCTGAATTTATCAATGTACTCCATGCTAACATATCGACGCGCTTTTTTGGATATGTAATACAAACATACTTTTACTAACGAATTATTATTGCCGCGAAATGATTAAAGAGATAATAAGAGATTTTCTTGTCGTGCAATATATTTAAATTAGCTTGTTAACAGCGGCTGTTACCAGTCTCGATTTTTTAATAAATGTATTGTAAGGTGGCCATTTATGAAATATTTAAAAAAACATTTAAATGTGTCTGGATTTCGCGTTCTTATTCAATAAGATAAAACATTTGAATCGACAGTCTTGTGTTTGATAAAGATTGCACGTCCATCAATGAATGCTTCAGAGATTATTTTATGACGAGGATTTTACATAGGTTTTAGATATATATCTCCGCCTTAAGAATGATAGATCCCCATCACATATTTTAGTGGCTAAGTTCTTTGTTACTTTCTTTTAGGGGAGAATAATTGACTTACTCGTTACATATTCATATATAAAATTTAAATAAAAAATAAATGTTACATCAGCATCTTATCTTCTTTTCCGACTTCCTCGCTCATCGTAAAAATGATCGAGAAGAAAAACAGAACGAGCATAACGTTAGAATAGAGCGTATAAATGCGACGAGAAAGCAAATAAGGTAGCGCGATTGGATGATATCATTCTAATAAATTACACTCACGGGAACGAGTATGTAATTGGTCGGAGATGTCGATAAGTGGAAAAGCTGAGGATGATCGTAACGAAAGAAAGGGCAACGAACGATCGCGCCGAACACGAGC